CGAAATGGGCACATTAAGAGAAGCTTTAGTAACATCAACAATCGAGATCATCTCAAAGAACAAAGGAAAAAAAAGAATGGATAATCGGTGAAATTCTCAACAAGAATAAAACAACATTGCTGGCACGGCCCAGACTATAGGATTCTGCACAGGTACAGCACAGATACTACATAAAGAAATTAGGAACAAATGCAGAATGTGCAGAAATAGAAAGTATAAGTATCATCAGTAAAAGAGATATGCATAAAAAAAAAATAAGAAAACTAACAGGACAAAAGACATGTCCATCAAGAGGATGCATAAAATCCAAAGACGGGACATTGATATAAGAGAAAGGAAAAATACTTCAAAGATTGAATGAATAGATCGGAGAACTTTTCCACGACAAAAGAGAAAAACCGGCAATACATCGAAATATCAAAAGACTAGTAATATTAAAATCTGAAGTGGAATCAGAACCCACCCAAATTGAACAGAAAAAAAGCGTCAGGGACAGACGGAATTGTCCTATAAATGGTGGCAGCCTTTGATGATTTAGACATTGACAAGATTATAGACATAATAAATTAAATCTACAACAGTGGCGATATACCGGAAGACCTAAGTAGATGATGGCAGCCTTTGATGATTTAGACATTGACAAGATTATAGACATAATAAATTAAACCTACAACAGTGGCGATATACCGGAAGACCTAAGTAGATGATGGCAGCCTTTGATGATTTAGACATTGACAAGATTATAGACATAATAAATTAAACCTACAACAGTGGCGATATACCGGAAGACCTAAGTAGATGATGGCAGCCTTTGATGATTTAGACATTGACAAGATTATAGACATAATAAATTAAATCTACAACAGTGGCGATATACCGGAAGACCTAAGTAGATGATGGCAGCCTTTGATGATTTAGACATTGACAAGATTATAGACATAATAAATTAAATCTACAACAGTGGTGATAGAACGGAAGACCTAAGTAGAACTATTTTCGTAGCACTGCCTGAAAACGAATGTGAACTCCAGCGGACAATCAGCCTAATGTGCCACAAACAAAACTTATCATCTGAATTCTGATAACTAGAGCGTGCAGCTGAATCGGACCGGAAATAGGACTAGAATAGTACGGATTCGTTAAAGACACCGGAAGAATCTTCGTTCCGGTGATATTTATACTCAGAATGATAGACGAAAGAGCAATACGAATTTAGAAGGATGTGTACCTGCGTTTTATAGAATATGTAAAAGCGTTTGATAAATTACGTCAGAAAGAATTGTTGGAATTACTAGGTAATCTTGAAATATTTAGGAAGGATATTTGAATAATTCAGAACCTACACTGGCAGCAAACTACCTGCATACAGATAGAAAATGAGTTCAGAAGTATAAACAAAATAGAAAGTTATGTAAGACAAGGATGTGTCTTCTTACCGGACTTATTCAACCTATGCCGTGAAATGATTCTGAGAGAATTAGAAGTCCTACCAGGATTCATTATTGGCAGCTAAAACCTTACAGTAGGAAAGAATATCTGAAAATTTTCATTTTACGAAAGGATCAAATAAATAATATAGAATCAGATATCCTTAAAATGTTTTATCTGATTTAACCACGTCACTTTAACATCTGATTTCGCCTTGTCTCTTAATTTGTGGTGTCCTGCTTCAAAATTGGAGTTCCATGCCAAAGATATATAATCAGCAGTTAGAAAAGCAAGCAGTTCTTAGGTAGGAATAGGGTTCATTGCAAGAATTATCACCCCCCCCCAACATAGATTTTGAAAAGATACGTATGAATGAAGGTAAAGAAATGATATATTTGAAACAGAAATGTAATGTGTCGATTCTGAGAGAATTTGTTTAGCGAAAAAGACATTTAGAGCAGACATTAGTGCACTTGGCCGATAGGTTCACTGCAGAGAAACTGACATTTCTATAAATAACTAGTATGGTAGTACGCAATGAAATGACTAGGATACTTCAGATTTTACAAGCATTTCCTTGCATGTGGGAAGTGTGAAGTAAAATACGTACAGTGAACGGAGTTGATTGCCGAATGGTAATAATAATATTTCCCTAAGTGATATTAGCCGTTTCCCTAAACGTTCAGCATTCATTGACCCAGCAGGCAGTGCTAATCAACTTACGCTCTTTTTCACTCCTTGACCATGGAGCAGGGATCAAAGTGTAGAATCTGCTTTCAGGCGGAGGAACTACATTTTATATCTCAATTGTGTTTCTGTTTTCGGACAGAGCGTGACATAGTTGTGTCTATCTTCAGGTAGAACACAACTTAAATATTATTGAGAGGTGTCCGGTCTCGAGCAACAGCTGCCTGAGGCAGTACCTCCCTCATTGGACCAAAGTGGGGGATCGGTTGTAATACCGATGCCAGTGTAGACTCATCTTTTTCTTACATATCACCCCTAGCAACAGAACAGTCTATATCTTACGCCTACGTACGGAAAACTCCAACCAATTAAAACTGTACTAGGCGAATCAACCAATCTCATTGGTTCATTACTGAAAGTTCACGTGCAAAAACGAAATTGCGCCAAAACTCAAGTGAGCCAATTTCGGACTTTCAGGACTTATAAAAGTAAACGCCGACTGCCCCAAGCAGTCAGTAACAAACACCCACAGAGAAATTGCCAACATACTCCACGTCACTCGAAATCACGATTTTACCGCGCAAAGGTACATCAACGCTGACTCACTTACGATCAAAACTCAATCAACTCTGTGGACATCGATTCTCAAACATTGCTTATCTAAAGTGAATTATATTCACTACCTATTAAGTAACATCAATGTGCGAACGACCTTAAAAACATTACAGTCAAAGGTAGATCACTCCTTAAGAACTCCTTCTAAAAAGACACTTAATATTAACAATTTTAATATCAATACAAATCTAAAACGGACTGCAAACGAACGAACGATTACAAAGAGAGACATTCTGAAATCTAAAACATCATACACATTTTGCCAACATAACATATACCAATTATCCTGCTTGTATATTGTTTTGAATTGTATATAAATGTTATATTAGTTTCTAATTGAATATGTCTTGTTCTTAATCGTATTTTAAATTTCGTTTATTTATTTGTTGTGGATTCAGAAAGTCACGCAACCTACACAAATTCCTTCTGATTCTTTCAAGCATAATTAATAAATTCTGCACGTCCCCAACACCAGCACAGTCTACGATTGCAGAAGCTGGTCTATTTTTGAACTTGACACACGCTTGGGCTCCTCCGCCACATTAAACTGACCTAGTGTCACATCCTGCCAGCGTGGGGCTGCGAGTGAATATTAAGTGTATTATCTACGTTCGGGCGGACAAACTAAATTTTCTCTCTCAATTATATTTTTGTCTTCAGACAGAACACAGCAAATAAGGATACCTGGTCCCGGGGATTCCATCTCTTCGGCAGCACCTCCCTCATGGCACCAAAGCCAGAGGGTTGGTGAACTATCGGTGCCAGTGCGACGTTGATTTCGGGGGCCGGGAAATTTTTTTGCCTTAGCTCGGGTGCACTTCGCTTGGGCTACACACTTTAAATTGGTCTTGTGCCATATCCCGCCACTTGAAATGGGGAAATAAATATAAAGGGTAGAATCTGTTCTCTTCATCTCTCATGGTAATGGTAATATTAGCCGGTTCCTTATGTAAGTGGACAATAAAGAAACAGCGTTCAAAGAGACAGAAGATGATGTTTGATACTGTATTTAAATTTGTGAAGACCAAAGTAGATTGGAAAGCAAGAAGACCGAAGAGAGTTCCGCAAGTGAGAAGTGCGAGAGAAGCAACTGTTACCACTTACAGTTATATCTAGCAATTTCAGTTGTAAAATGGGTATGACGATAAACTACATCTGCGTCCTGGGTAAGACGATAAACTACATCCGCGTCCTGGGTAAGACGATAAACTACGTCCAACAACAATGCCTTTGATCAGAAGGTTTTGAGAACCGTGGAACCACCTATTAGTTGCTGGTGTTCCCAAACCCATCCTGATCTCGGGTGGTAGCACCTGTTAGGGTCCCAGCTCTGGGCAAATAGTTAACCTATAAACTAGGGTAAAAATACAATGAAAGTGTAAAAATAGGTCTTAATACCAGAAATAGTTTGTAAAAAAAATATTACCAGCAATGCATTTACAAAAAACAAAACAAAACAAAAAAAAAACATTACCAGCTATACATTTTTGAAGAAAAAATATTCCTAGAAATAGATTTTTTGAAGAAAAAATATTCCCAGCAATAGATTTTTGAAAAAAAATATTACCAACAATAAAAATGTTTGGCATTAAATAACCCATTGAAGTTGATATGACGTAAGCCAAACCAAACCAAACCAAACCAGACCAAACCAATCTAGTACTGTGCTTAAATTCGTAAAGTCGAGGAACCAAAGAGAACAATTACCATGAAAATATTTTTTGAAGAGGCACAGGTTAGCTACGTTATGTTGGTTGGAAAGTGACTGAACATGAGATGCCAGGTTAGGACTGATAACATTGCAGATTCTAATTTTGATTTTATCAAGAATATATAGCGACATAACCAGATGTAACGGCAATATTAAATGCATGGGCGAATAAGATACTTATAAAGGTTATAGATTCTGTCGAGAAAAAATTTCTGGAAAGACACAATGAATCAACTTTCCTAGCAAAGTGCTATACGAGTTACGCTTTTCTTAACTCCCCGGTCATGGGACTGGGATAAATCAAAACTTAGTATCAGTTCTTTTCATCTCTAATGGTAATGTTAGCTTTTTTGTGTGGAAGCATTCGGCATTCATTGATCGAGCAGCTAGTGTTACATTCTATTAAAAAACATTTTCCAGAAAAATAATCGAACCAGCTGTGTCTGACTTGCAAGCGTGAGAAAGAAATGTATTATAGGCAGATATATAAGCACGCACCCTAGAGAGGATAAAAGTAGCCTCTCTCTCAGATACCACACACGAGAATATAAGGTCAACCTTACAGCGCTTGTTATTCTCACACGATCACCCATCTAGGTACTAACCAGGCTTGAAGTTGCTTAACTTCTGTGATTGGATGAGAACAGGTATTGTAACGGGATCTCGCTGTAACTTTCAACTTAACCACTATAAAATTATCGAAAACACACACACGCGCATGCGCGCGCGCGCACACACACACACACACACACACACACACACACACACACACGCGCACGCGCACATATACACACAAAATGAATAATAATTTTAAAGGACATTTATGGGAGGGATTTGGCACTTTTTAATGATAATTGTTTTATTTTCTGCAGACGTTCGTGAACAAGAAAGAAAAATAGAAAAAAATGGCTGATTTTATTTCCTTGCTTTTCGTTGAATAATGCTGAACAAGGCTAATTTGTTTAAGAGTAACCTCACTGGGTGCCGCATAGAAAATTTGACACCCCCTACCAGTATCGTCCTCTTCGGAGGAGCTGGTTTGCCGAATTTTGCAGTGAAGTCATGTCGCACATCCTCCATGCTCTTGCCAGAATACACACCATCAGGTGTCCATACATTTGCAAGCAGCCTCTCTTCCAAACTGTAACAGCTCATGTCAGCCGTCTGAAATAGAAAATTATATTATGTATGGGTGACAAGACTTTCAGACCACCCTGTAGATAAGGTCTAACATTTTTTTTTTTAATATTTCACTAGATAATGCACTTTTGGTTTGCCATTTACTGAAGAAATACATTCTTTAGCAAGAGTTTTTATTTACTAGAAGACTGAAAAGTGTACCTCTGTCGAGAAAAATAAAAAAGATCTGAGTGTACGGAATTATGGATTTTTCTAATACAAAAAAGAACAACAAAGAAAAGATGCTCTTAAATAAAGATTAACGTCGAAATAAAATGTCATTTCAATAAAATAAACGTATTTTACCGTATTAAAATATAGATAACAAGACTCAAAAAAAAAAACCTTTCTTCGTGGAAGAGATGTGGTTCTACAGAAGGATTCTGAGAATGCCATGGCCGGAACATGTGAGCAACGAGGAAGTTTTGAGGAAAATGCAAACAAAAATACACTCATAGTTAGAATCAGTAAGAGACAGTTTAAATTTTGGGAACGCATAATGAGTGAACAGAGCTTGGAGAATATGACACTCACAGGACATTCTGAAGATGCTAAGAGAGAAACAGTGAGTAACTTCCTTAACAAGCTCGTATAAATGGACGGCAGAACAGGTATTACGAAGGATAGTAAAACAAAACATTTTTATGAGCTACAAAGACTAGGAAGTCGTGGAGAGCTATGATTGTAAAGGCCATGAAGGGACACGCCACATAAAAATTGCTGACAGAACGAAATTATTAGATGCATAACGAGTCTTATTTTTGCACAAACCTAAATATAATTTAACATTCTTTCAAACACCATTCTGTTTTTGTTGTGTCAAATAGCAATAGAAGAACTTGCATCTAACTTCGTTTATGTGCCACGTCACATCATTACGTTTGGTATCATAGCTCTCCACAACTTCCTGGGTCTTGTTGCTCTAAGCAATGTTGGATTCTTTACCAACACTCTTTAAATCTCTGCCATAAGAAGCGAAAAGAGATGACAATTTGCCTCTTACCACCCTAGATAACTTTTTACCCCTCCCGGTAAATTTTTGCCGCACCCAGTAACTCTTTACCGCTCTTTGTTGACCATTTACCATAGTGTTTTCGCTATTTATAATCACTAGTTGACACTTTACCACTTCTTTGCGCTTTACTATCCATCTTGCCTCTTTACCATCTTCATTTGCCTCTTTAGCACTTCTCTTTGAATTATTACCACCTTTCTTCCCCTCTTTACCACTTGCCTTTGATTCTTTACTACCTCGCATTGACTCTTTACCACTCAATTTTTACATTTTACCATTTCTCTTTGACGCATTACCATCTCTCTTTGACACTTTACCATTACTGTTTGATTCTTTCCCTTCTTTCTTTGATTTCTACCATTCCTTTTTTATTCTTTACTACCCGGTGTTGACTCTTTACGATCTCTCTCTGACTCCTTACCGCCTCTCTTTGGATGTTTACCGCTCCTTTTTACCTTTTTACCTTTTTACCACTCCTTTACCGTTTCTATTTCACGTTTTAACATCTCCCTCTGGTACATTAGCATAAGTCTTTGACCCATTACCATCTTTCCTGGCTCTTTACCACCCCGTTTTTATACTTTACTACCCTTCTTTGATTCTTTACCACTTCTCTTTACCATCTCTATTTGACTCTTAAAAATCCCTATTTACCATCCCACGTTGACTCTTTACTACCCATCTTTGCCTTTTTCCCATTCTTTTTTTGTTGCTTTTCCATCTCCCTTTGACACTTACCATCCCTCTTTGACTCATTACCTTCCCTCATTGTCTCACTCTGCCACTCCTCCACCCATTACCGATTCACTCTTTATGTGGGTTGCTTCCATTTCTTCACAATTTACCGCGAGTGTTTAAATTTCCAAGCCTTCTTTCTTCATAATGCGTCCCAGAAGTTTTATATGTCCCTTTCTCTATCTCACACTGAGTTCTTTACTTTAGAGGTCCTAGTACTGATTATGTCATGACCTTGAGACGCAATGTTTGTATACCGTGCTAGTCTGTCTTGTAGCAGCTGGTCGATTCGCCTTGTTACCAAGGTCTTTAGCTTATACCGTGTATCGATGTTTTAAGTGGCAACGGAGATACGCCAAGCGACCCGTAAGATAATTTTTGCGGCAACAATTCGGGCGTCCTCGCGAATCGAAACGAGGCTCAGAGATTGGTGTTGAATATTCATGATCACACTTGACTCTTTACAGCGGCTAACGTCTTTCTTTTGTAGATCTTCACACTATTCGTTCCATCCCCATCTTTGTAATCCTTTCATAGCGTCTTTTGTTGATTTGATTCTGTTTTTTTCTCTCTCTTCCTCCCTTCTCTCTCATCATTGCATTTGACAACCGCCATTTCCCTGTCGTTAGTATTACTGCACAGCTGCAGATTTTGTCCTTACTTTTCTTTTCAAGTTGAAACGTCTTTTCAATCATTTTAAAATACTTTCATTTTGCCATTTCATTCATTCTTTCCTCCTTTCTTTCTTTTTTTCTTTCTTTCTTTTTTCTTTCTTTCTTTCTTTCATAGTTTTCGAATAAGTTTCTTTTTTTCATTCACTCTTTTCTTTTCTTTCTCAGGTGAAAAATTTTCTTTCTTTCTTTCTTTTGCCGTTTCTTTTTCTTTTTCAGGTTAAGAATATTTTTCTTTCTTTCTTAGTTTAAAATTAAGTTTCTTTCCGTTCTTTCTCAGGTTAAGAATATATTTCCTCTCTTTCTTTCTTTTGTTTCTTAGTTTAAAAGTAAGTTTCTTTTCTTTTGTCGTTTCTTTTTCTTTCTTAGGTTAAGAATATTTTTCTTTCTTTCTTTCTTTCTTTCTTTCTTCCTTTCGCTTTCTTAGTTTAAAAATAAGTTTCTTTCTTTTGCCGTTTCTTTTTCTTTCTCAGGTTAAGAATATTTTTCTTTCTTTCTTTCTTTCTTTCTTTCTTTCTTTCTTTCTTTTATTTTAAAAATAAACTTTTTTTCTCAATTTTAAAATTTCTTTCTTTCTTTCATCATTTTCTTTTCTCAATTTGAAAATGACTTTCTTTCTTTCTCAAGTTTATATAATTCATTCTTTATTTTCCCCCTTTCTCCGTTTAAAAATAACTCTCTCTCTTTCATTCATAATTTTTCTTTCTTGGGTTATCTTTCTTTCTTTCTTTCTTTCTTTCTTTCTTTCTTTCTTTCTTTCTCGGGTTAAATATCTTTCTTTCTTTAAAGATATTTTTTTTTTATTAAATAACCCTGTTCTCTCTTCATTTTAAAAAAAAATTCTTTCGTCTGCTTTTATTTTTCAGAGATTTCGCTTACCCAGTCTCATTTTCTAAATAACTTTCTTCTCAGCTCTGCTTCTAAAACTATGTTTTCTTCCTTTCTTTTTTTTTTCCTTTTTGCCTTCCCTCTCCCTTTTTGAAACAACCTTTCTTCTCTTTTCTTATTATTTTCCTTTCCCAGTATTCTCCAAGTTTAATTTTCTATAAATTTCCTTATATTCATAAAGAAATCTTTGTGACGAATGAATAATTCCACGAAGTAAATAAAATTCACGAAGATAGTATTTCGTTGCCAATTTTCCAAAGAAGGAACTGCCGAAAAACAATATTAAATTAATTTAAGAAACATATACTTTGAAGATCAACTAAAAGAAAAATATATTCCATTGAATTTCAGCCATGTTGGGAAGATTCTGTTTGAAATCTTTTGTGATAGACAATAAGAAACTAGTCGTTTGTCTTGTCTTCGGATAACGTTAAGCCGTGTAATGTACAGTTATCAGTCTTCTCGTTCATCGTAGTTCTCAGACATCTCAACATCTGATTGCTATGTTCCTTTATCGTTTGATAACCATACGCTCAACAACGTAATCTCAGGCTACACGCATAGCACAGCAGAAGCGTTAGAGTCGTGGATGAAGATTCCGTGTCGTTTTTCATTTTCTCGCCTTTTCGCTGACGTGTTTTGTTTTCATCAATTCTCCACGCAACAAAATAAGCCCGAGCAGAAACAAAGTTTTAAGATTGTTTAAATAAAACAACAGAGGTGTATAAACTGGCATTTGTTAGATTGTAACTCACTGCTTAAAGATTATTTCGAATGTTATAAACTGTTTTAGCATTTAAACTATTTTTTTTAGTCGTTTGCTGTTGCTGAGTGAAGCATGAATGACTAGATTAACATTAACATATTATTTCTCATTTTAAATTTCTTTGTCCAATGCGAACTTTATGAATTTTGCATTTCATAATCCTGTTCTTTTTTCAAATACATTTTGCTTAAATGTTTTTATTGGTTTTTCTTCGTTTCAAATCTCAGCTTTTGCTTTTGAAAATCAGTTTTTTTCTACGCGTTCTTTCTTGTCCTTGGCTTCTCTACTCACGAGTATTTTTCTCATTTTAATCTATAAATATTATCCTCCCATTTTGCTGTGCTAGGGATAGTTCCTCCCAACACTGCAAGATACTGTGGGATCTTCCACAACAAACCAGCCTTACCTCTTTTTAGGAAATGCACTCTTCCTATCTGGTAAGTAACATCCTACTTTCACATAAATATAACAAGTATTCATTGGTCAATCACCTCCAATCTAGCTTGTTGATTGGTCAGTTCCGACCAATCAAACCGCTTGCATGCGACCAATCTGTTTTCCCGCTCATATGCTGGGAGCCTCATGACCATTATATAAACCTAACACGTGTAAACTCCCTCGAGTAGTTTTTCTTTTCATTCAACTCTCTCGCACGTCTCATTCCTTGCTACCAAGTGCCAAGATGTAACCTTCAAGAACTCCCGTCTTAGTCATTGCTGGCCAGACGTTAAAGACAATTACCAACATTCACGAACTCTGAAATCATTTCTGAACTTTTACCAATTTTACAACTCACAATTCCAAACTTTATTCTTCTAAATTACAGTTTAATATTACTTCTTCTTAATATGAACTCAGGTACAACTAATACCTAATCAAAGGGACACGACTCTGTCCTACCTTTTCAGTTCGCATGCATGTACATCAAACATTAATAAATTTAATTGTTATGTTTTGAAATCATTCCGTTCAGTTTTGTATTTTATTCTATGTGCTATTTACGTCAAATATGGGTTGCATTGCGTCCACGCATTGTCCTTAATCTCACCTTTCCTAAGTTAAATATTGATAACACAATCACTACAACAATACAACCGCTACATATTTAGTAATCCCGTCGGAAATAAACAACAATGGTAACCCCTATCACTACAATACTACATAACCAAAACATTAACGTAAAAACTCGAGACAGGTCGAGGCATCATATTGACGCAATGCATGGCACCACATTCGTTCAGAGATATTTAAACTGTCAGCTGTATACAGCCCTTTTCACAATGGTTAAAAATGGCTTCGAGCTAATAAAGCCTTTGGTCAGCGAGGACCTGCCTACTTCGGGCTTACTGGCCTGGTGCTTCAGAATCACACACACACAAAAAAAAACAGTATCAAATAAGAGAAAGAACAGAAACAGAAAAATAGGATAACTAATAAAAAAAACAATGTTATCAATAATAGGATAACTAATAAAGAACAATATTATCACTATTAAACAAGCAATAAGATAACTATGAAATTTCCAATACGATCATCATACTCGACAATATTTCATTTATTTTTTCTTTAATAAATGTTCACCTAATAAGAGACTGTTGAGGGGTTCTCCCCTTTTTACACAAATGGACTCACCCAGTGTATACTTATACTACGGCTACGTGAAGACCCGAGAGAGCAAGACCGGAGAGTCGAGTCGAGTCCAGAGTGACAGAGTAGAAGGTTGTAGGTAACCGAAAGAGTGAGGGGTGAGGTAACAGCGTTGTAGGAGTCACAGTGAGCGAGCACGTCGACTCAGAAAGAAGTCATACAACGATACTTCAATACCAAAGACTGTATAGTTATTTTGCTACTAACCCGTATTCCTGGAACTACTAACCTGCATTACCAGTTTGTATTATTGCGTTAAATACATTATTTTCCTATATTCATTCCTGGCGTTTGTTATTTATTGGTACCGGATTTCAACAGAGACTCAAGGGTTTACTAAGTTTATTATATATATATATATATATATATATATATATATATATATATATATATATATATATATAAGAGAAAGTAAAGCAGATTATAAGGACATCTAGAACAGATAACATTTAACCCAAAACTTGAACAAGTTAAGACTGTAGTGATCGGGGATGAATCGTCTCAGGGTAGGATCCACAATGTTCTGGGGAATTAATTTTGTTGAAAGATAAAAAGGGATTTAAACTCAAATGGAAGATCACAAGATGTTATAACTTAATTGGAAACCTTTCATAAGCGTATGACAAAAAAAAAAAAAAAAAAAAAAATTTAAAATTATTTATCTTTCAATGTGTCATTTAAATTGTATACAACAAAAAGGGGTTTAATGAACTCCTGATGTTTGGCGACCTGGGAAGTGGGATGGGCCGATAACTTTTCAGCATCACCATAGATGGCTATTAAAGGGTTATTATAAAACTAAATTTGCTGATTAATCATATATTAAAAATAACTTGGGCACATTTCTTCCACATTCAACGTCTTTTCGGACTATCATGTATTTCATTTCATGCAATACTCATTTTCTAAACATCATTTTTTAAAAAATCATTTCATCCCAATCAAGGCGATAGTAACACTAAGACGCAAAGGTCTGCTGGGAGTAAAAGAGAATGAGAAAACTTCAGAAGGAACCGAAAACTCAATCCTAAATAGTGAACAATGGATAAACCTTTACCCCTGGTTAAAAAAGGAGTGTGAAGCGGACGATAGCTGTACTATTCCGGAGATTTAAAGATAGTGAAAAATTCCTCTAATTCCATAATTATTACATAACTTTCTTTTTTCTACTATATTTTTAAGCCTAATCGTTATGAGTGCGTATTATACATGGAAATCTAGTATTAGATTTTTTCTCAGTCACTTTCGTCGCCATATTCGGTACAATATGGTCGAAAATAAGAAGAAAAATTGTATGGTTGTCAGTGAAAGAGACTGCCCAAGATGTGAGCTACATATTGGCGGCGTCAAAATCAAGCATGGAGTATTGCTGCCATATATGGTCTGGTGCCCCTTCTGTTTGCCTCGGGGTTCTTGATAGACTCCAGAGGCGGATATGCAATGTAGATGGCCCTGCCCTGGCGTCTAGTCTACAGCTACTTTCTCACGGACGCGCCGTCGCCTCCCTCTGTCTGTTCTACAAATACTTTCATGGAAATTGCTCCGAGCTGCATTCGCTGGTTCCCAGACGTCATGAGTTCCAGCGCCTTACGAGGCTGGCATCCCGCTCTCACCCCTTCATTGTCGAAACTCCTAAATGTAGCCGTCTCTTCTACTCTAATAGCTTCATGTCTCGCACCTCTCGCCTGTGGAACTCCATTCCCTATTCCTGTTTCCCTGAGAGCTATAATCTCCAGCTATTCAAGTGTAATGTCAATCGACATCTCCAGTTGCCTTGATCTATCCAGTACCCTCATCCTTTCTTCTATCACTCCTATCTGATCTTGCTCTAGACTTTCTGTAACCCCTTGCGTCCTAGTGGCTTCCCGCCTTGCTTGGGGTGAAATGCTTAAAAAAAAAAAAAGGTAAAGAAATGCAACTGTACTGTAGTAATAGACGATTTCTGTGTGGCACAGAAATCCGAAGAAACATAATAATAGCAAGGAATGTCTTCTCGAAACTTTATCAAAGTACTGAGATATAGGAAAAATCATTAGGAACAAAGAAAAAGAGTACTGAGCTGTTGTGCAATATCTACAGAGCTGTGAATACTGGAAGATCTCTTCACAGATGAACAAACGACTTGTAGCAACAGAGGTGGATTTCCATCGACAAATGCTGAGATTACTACGGATGTAATGTGTGAGCAACGAAGAGGTCTTCAGGAAAATAAGAACTCTATTAATGAATACAATCATTATTGAAGGGATAAGTTTATTATCTATATAATGTAAATTCACTCCCAATAATACTTCTTTTTCTACGTGCCGAGTCTCTTCAAGCTGTGGGCAATCATAGCTCTCCGTAACTTCTTAGTATTTCTTAGTAAGGTTTGTTATTTCACAATTTCGTCCAGTTTCTTTTCTAGATTCTATTTACACAAGCTCATTAGGGAGACCATTCGTTGTTTTCCCTGATTCTCTTGTCTTTTAAATGTTCTGTGAGTCTCAAATTCTTTAAGCCCTCTTTACTTATTACGTGTTCTCCAAATTTCAGCTGCTTTGTTCCGATTCTATTTATAAACGTCCTTTTTTGTTTCCATTTCTCACAAAGTTTCCTTTTTACTTAGTATCCACCTGCAGAACCACATACCAGTTTATTTGTATAATTCATCTCTTTTGCGACATCAGACATTTTATGAGTGTTTTAATTACCCTTTAGCAATATCCGACATTTTATTAGAGTTTTAATTACTCTTTAGCGATATCCAACTGTTTATTATCCGACTTTTTATTAGAGTTTTAATTACTCTTTAGCGATTTATTCATTAGTGATATCCGACATCAGACATTTTATTGGTTTTGTTTTAATATACGTTTTTTGCGATATTCGATATCCGACTTTTATTAGTGTTTTAATTACTCTTTAGCGATATCCGACTGTTTATTAGTGTTTTAATTACTCTTTTGTGACATCAGACATTTTATTAGGGTTTTAATTACCCTTTAGCGATATCCGACATTTTATTAGAGTTTTAATTACTCTTTAGCGATATCCGACTGTTTATTAGTGTTTTAATTACTCTTTTGCGATATCCGACATTTTATTAGTGTTTTAATTACTCTTTAGCGATATCCGACTATTTATTTGTATTTTAATTACTCTTTTGCGTTATCCGACATTTTATATCCGATTCTCTTTTCGTTTTGTAATCTTTTTTTTAATTTTTCTTTTTTTTTACCTCTTGTCTTTCATTTTTTTTCTTCATTATTTCTATTTATTTTAGGTCGAGAAAATTGTGGCGGATTGATGAATTTTCGAGTTCGAATTCCAGAAAACTAATACACATGGGAAAGGTATGAATCCAACTCTTCTCCTTTTAGCTATGGGTAAATAGTAGGACAGACTAGGCTTTATAACCTTGAGTCTAGGAAAACTCTGAATTTCAAACTTTAGGGAAAACAATCATCTAAGGAAATTGAAAAACTTTTTTACATGTTCACCATGCCAGGGCGGGGGGGTCACTCGGCGTGAGAGTTACGTGGACATGTTAACTTGGAAATGGTGGTTAAGATTGTCAGGAAACATCCTCTTGGGAGTCTATTCCATAGGGCAGTAGTTTGTGGGAAGAAGCAACAGTGGAACTTACTTCTCACCCATTTGGGTTTGCTACTAGAAACGTGAAGGTTGGACTGGAACCAGGAGATGCAGTTCGTCCAGGCACTTTCAATGGTAGTCGTAATAGAGCAGTGAGACTCGCTATATCCCACCTGTGTGAGAGAGGTTGGAGGGTGGTGGAAAATAATTCTTCTCCAACAAGGACTCGGAGACGCTTTTGAACTCTATCAAGACTGGAAAGTGAGGTCTGGGCAGCTCTCTTGTCCAAATGGTAACAGTACCCATTTTTCGGCCTGATCTGCCTCTTTTGAGATAGAGGATAGCGTGAGGAGTCAGGTACTTACTGCAGCGCTATAGGGGAGCCGATCATTTTACTGCATCTTTAGCGATAGTTTGTATATAGGAAGGAGGAGACATCGTTCATCGTGACTGGTGGTAGTTCAAGGTCTGATCAGCAGTGATGGAATCTAACCAGTTTGAATTTACAGCTATTGAATGTAACCAATCAGTTTTTTTCCCCAGTGGGAAGTTAGTGTTAGATCGGATAAAGGTCAGCTGCCTATATTTGATTTTAGTTTTTCATTTAGACGTTTATAAATGATCGTGGTATATTCTTTTGATCATTTTTTAAGTAACCTCTGTGCATTTACTGTGGGGGGCCTGACTGGAAAACTACCTTCTGTTAGGAAGGATTTTATAACAGAGTGATTCTAGACAAACCTTTGTACCACACCGCCGAAGGTCTGCGAGATTCACCATGGTCTTTGCTGTATATCAGAACCCATCTAATTCATGTATAATGGTAGTTAGGCATCCACCGGATCTACATAACTGGTCTAGAAACCAGTTTTGTTCGTTTTTTCAAAATGGCAGTTAAACAAACCCGATAACCTGGTTTGACTATACTGCCGTAAAAGTACCCATCATAATGCCACAAGAGTCACCAGGATAGCCTCCTTCAATATGGAAGTAGTTACCCGATATTATGCAAAGGATAAACTCCTTCGGACCTCTGTGACTATCAGGCAGATAAAGCCCAAAAGAAAACTCCTAAAGCCTTAAGGAAGGGACAATCAATTTACCTCCACAAGGGAGGACAATCCCTACCTAATGAAGGGACAATCAATTCAGAAAACTCTACCCACTGCAGCCTTAAAAGGAAAATCAATCAGAAAACTCCATGCATGATGCTTACCTCCAGCAGTAAGGAAGGGGACCAGCCTTAAGGAAGGGACAATCAATCCAGAAAACTCCTACCTCCAGCACCCTTAAGGAAGGGACAATCAATCCAGGAAAGAAAAATACATGCATGAGGCTCTGAGTGGACATGTGTCTGCTCAAAAGTCAAGGCAACAGAACTCCTCTTTGGGTCAGAAACATTGTACTGGTCCAAGATTTCTCCTTGCTTTTAGGGACTAAAATACCCGATGAAAGGCAGGGTGGGGTAAAAGGGTTTATCTTTGCTAGTTTTTGGAGTGTGCATTAGTTGCTGGAAAACTAGTAGACAGAGAGACAGACACATCCGCAGGAGATGCATGTTCAGAGGTACAGCTATATCAGAACCCATCATCATGCCATTGAGAGGCACCACCGGAGACTACAGCACGGTCCAGAAACCATTCACAAAATTTTGTTATAGGATAGCCTCCTTCAGAGTTACTCAAAGATTCGGACCTCTGACTATCAGGCAGATAAAGCCAAAATCCGAAAAACATTTACCTCCATCACCCTTACTGAAAGGACAATTAATCCAGGGATTGATGCAGTGGAATGTTGTGTCTACCCAAAAGTCAAGGCATATGCTTGAAATCTTCCAGAGGCTTGGGGAAGATTTCTCCTTCAAACAGAAATTAAATATCTTTGCTAGGATCGGTGATAATTTTGGGTTGGGACTCCATGACCATGGCAATTTAGGTGGTCGTATTTTTGTTATAAAAAGCCTGGGACAGTGAAATGGGATTGATGCATTAATACCCATTTCAGACAAGAACAAGAGGTCAGGTTTAGACTGAAAAAAGTTGAAACGTAAACCCCTTACGTTGGTGTAAGAGTTAGTATAACTGGGGTCTTTTTTAGGTAGGGTTTGCTAGTTTTGTTCATTTTCAATTTGATTGCTTTCATGTTTTTTTTTAGTTAGTTTGGTGGATAGCTTGTAGGCAGTGAAAACAGACATCCATTGGAGATGCAGGCATAAATAACTTGGGTTGATTTGCCTAGAGATACTGCTGTAACAGTACCCATCATCATGGCATAGAGAGACCCCACCAGAGACTACAGCATGGTCCAGAAACCATTTAAAAATGGCAGTACAATAGACCCAATTTTATACACCTGCTGATAGAATAGTCCCCTTCGAAGTTACTCGAAGGTTTGCATCCCTGACTATCAGGCGGATAATACCAAAACCCAGAAAACGTTTACCTCAAGGACCCTTAATGAGGGGGGCAAATGACCCAGGGAAGATTCAAACGTGATACTCGGAGTGTACATGTCTTGTTCGTCTAGAAGTCAGGGCAGTAGAATTCCTCCTTGGGTTAGAAACTTCGTACCGGCCAGAGACCTAGAGGTGAAGAAGGTTTCTCGAGTGCATGTGTATCCCCTACCCTGATTTGAGTTAGTATCAGAAGCATTAGTCGTTAAGGCTGAGGGCATATGGCGGGAAGATACTTATTCTATTTGAGAGAGAGAAAGAGAAAAAAAAAGTTTAAAATTAAAATGTAATTACTCCTGTCACAGACACAAAGTGAGAATTGACAGTTGTACTGAAAATTCATTAGAATCGGCTGGCCGAAGTGGCGGGGACAGGGGAAAGATTAAGGATGGGTATGGTAACTATAAAGTTTTAACTTAGTGTAAGTTTCAACGGTTGATTCCATATATCCATATATATATACTGTTTTTAGTCATTATTATCTCTTCTCTCATCTTGTCTCAACTTTGTTTGTTTGTTTGTTTCTCTCCCCCCTTTTTTCTTTCTTTCTTTCTTTTGCTTTCTTAGTTTAAAAATAAGATTCTTTCTTTTGCTGTTTCTTTTTTTCTCAGGTAAAGAATATTTTTCTTTCTTTCTTTCTTTCTTTCTTTCTTTCTTTCTTTCTTTCTTTCTTTCTTTCTGTTATCTGCTTCATTTCCTCTTCTCTCTCAACTGCCTCCTTTTCTTCCGGCTGCATTTGTTTATTTCCTGTATTTAATTCTCCTATTCTCGCTCATTTTTCTTCTCTTCCGTGCAATCTCAGTTCACTCGATTCTTCGCTTTCTCCAGAAACCCACTTTTTCTGACTACAGCTTCACCCACCTTCTTCTCGTTACCTCTTTCCCCGAAAAGGAATACCCACAATTTCCCCGCCATCTGAAGCAGTCGCAGTGCTTTGAATACTGAACCGAATAACTGATCTCTAACATAACTACCAACGTTTTGAATTCTTCGCGTCGTCGTCATAAAAGGATGGGGGAAGCCAGGCAAAGTTAAGGAGATCTTCAGCGCGCATGTCACGTCAGTCTGCGCGCGTATCATGCTTCAGAATTAGAATAATTGAATAAAGGACTCGAAGAGTCTTTTGTTGTACGAAATGAATGCGCGTGACTCTGCATTACTGATACTAAAGTCCGGCTGAGGATTGTGCGTCGCTTCCCAAAGTGGGAAAAACACTCGAACCATGATTTTTTTTAAAGGGGTTGAATTTATAAAGTCTTCTCAAACGCAACAAAAAGGAATATGGTAACAACAACAACAACAGCAGCAAAAAAAAAAACAAACAAAAAAAAAAACAAACAAACAAAGAAAGAAAGAAAGAAAGAAAGGAGCTTTTCTCTTCAAGGTTTTCACTGATTTATGTCCAGTGAGAGAAAGGAAGAAAGAAAAAGAGAGAGAGATAAAAAATGGAAAAAGAAAAAGAAAGAGAAAGAAAAAGTGAGAGAGAGATAAAATAGAGAGAGAGAGAGACAAAAAGAAAAAGAGAGAAAAAGAAAATTACAGAGAGAGAAAAAGAAAAAGAAAAACAAAGAGAAAGAAAAAGAGAAAAAGTGAAAAAAGAAAAAGAAAAGAGAGAGAGAAAAAAATTATAGAGAGAGAAAAAGAAAAAGAAAAACAGAAAGAGAGAAAGAAAAAGAGAAAAAGTGAAAAAAAGAAAAAAAGAAAGAGAGAGAGAGAGAGAAAGAAAATTATAGAGAGAAAAAAAAAAACAGAAAGAGAGAAAGAAAAAGAGACAAAGTGAAAAAAAGAAAAAGAGAAAGAATGAGATAATGGGAGAAAGGCCGAAAGATTGAAAGAGAAAAAGATCGGGTGGAAACAAAAATAATAAAAAAAGGAATAAATATAAAATAAAAACCAAAAAACAAATATGAAAAAAATGGCGGAATCATTTTGAACTACAAAAGAGGAAGTTCCTATGTTTGTCACGAAATCTTAAACCACGTGGTTTATTTTTTTTATATCATTATTTTAAAAGAAATTAGAACACCATATATATATATATATATATATATATATATATATATATATATATATATATATATATATATATATATATATATATATTCGATTTCTCTATGGCAGTTAGAGTTGATTCATGACATTCCCTAATATCTGCAACCCGATACTGAGATAGCACACATATATTGCATTAAAAGAGTCTGTCAAATTCTGTATTACGCAGGGATATGACTTGAATCTCTAATTTCACCACTTCTAAAAACAGAGCTTCAAATATCTAAGCATTCGTATGTATCATCCAATCAAACTGTTTTTAACAAATTCAAATGGAGCCCCTATCTGCTCAACTGGTCTCGAGTCTTGCGGACGTAGGCGGGAGCCTACTATATAGCAAAACCAGTTTTATGAGCAATGTGAACACAGACAACTTCCTAATTTTCAATGCCTAGTTAAACTTTACATCACATAAAACAATAAGAACAAAAAAAAACTACATACGACCTGATAAAGCGAGAAGAGGAAAAAACCTGTTGAAGCGTTTACATCACAGGCTGACAAAGTTACAATTCCCTACTATTCGGTCAGCACATTTATTTGACTCCAGCGACTGTAAGCTGTAATGTAAAGGAGTTAATATATTCACCACGAAATTTTAAAACCACTAGATTTGTTTAAAAAGCATAGGGACGTTCCGCATATTTGTCTAATAAGATTTCTCGAATATTCAGGCCAGAAGAAGGAAATAAATATAATGTTTAATAAATAAACGACATTTTCAGTATTAAGTCTCTTGGAACAAAAAATACAGGGCATCTATTCAAGCATATCTATCTATCTATCTATCTCAGTCTGTTAAGATGTATTTATCTCAGTTTATTCAGATCTATCTATCTATCTATCTATCTATCTATCTATCTATCGATCAAATAAATTCACTAGACAATTTAATTTTTATTAAAGTTGCTAGATTTAGCTTAGTCTGAGGGGTGGGAATCAACAACTATAGACCTGGGTATGACGATAAACTACACCCGGCAGCAAGATCTCTGATCGGGAGCTTAGAGTTTTTTGAGGAGATGTTGTTCCTATGTACACCCTGAACAGAGGTGGTAGCCCTTATTAGGGTCGCAGCATATGGGTAAACAAACAACAACGAAGAAACAATATGAAAATATAAAAATACATATTCATATTAATAATACCAGCGAAACATTTTTATATATGTATAAAAAAAAACATTACCAACGATACCTATTTTATAGGTAACTGACCAACAATACATTTTATCCGTAATTGAAGCCATTAAACTGGCTTCAAAATATTTAGATTTCGGCATTAAATAACCCCCGTTAAACAAAATCAACCAACTAACAACTACATAACTGTAACAGTTTACTCTAGATGCTCATTAACCATTACTTGACAACAATCTGTTCTTTGATTAGCGTAGTCAGGCGAAAGAACACACTGGAGTATTGAAAGCACATATGTGAATTGATATGTGCTACAAGCACGCACTCATTCACGTCTCAGTAGGTGCCAACACACACACACACACACACACACACACATATATATATATATAAACAGTACCACGATTTTTTATCGAACGACTTTTTTATGTGGAAGTAAATCAAGCTAAACAGAGACAAACAAAAATCCAGTTACAAGAATCTATCTATCTATCTATCTATCTATCTATATCTATCTATCTATCTACTATAGTGGAACACACCTATTCTATAGTTAATAGACTCCCCCACCTATAATAAGTAGGAGTAGTAAGAGTAATGAGGAGGTTGGTCAGTCAGTCGATGTCGGACGACAGTTAGTCGGATACTAAAGTATCAGCGACCACAACTAGATTACTCTGCGTCATACCTATTATATGAAGTTCCTAACGTCGAACCTATTTTAGGACCAACTTAGTACAAATACAAGCCTCCACTGTGAAATCACTATACAGCACTATCTATCTCAGTCTGTTCATATCTATATATCTATGTCGGCCTTTACATATGTATCTCATTGTGTTAACCGCTCTGAGTATGACGATATGCTACATACGGCAGCAAGGCCTCTGGCTGGTCAGGAGATTTTGAGGAGCGTTGAACCACCTTTTACATGCTGTTCCCAGGTCCACTCGGACCCGGGGTTGTAGCATTTGTTAGGATCCCAGCTATGGGCAAATAGTTAACCTCCAAACTGGGGTCAAAACATTGAAATTATAAAAATAGATTTATTTAGTAAAAATATTGCCAGCAACAGATTTTTGAAAAAAAAAAAAAATATCAGCAACAGATTTTTGAAAAAAAAAAAAAATTACCAGCAATATATGTGAGTCTCAACAAAAACGCTCTTAACACAAATCGGTCAATGAAAACTGATTTAGAAACGGATGTCTTACAAAGAATACATATTCTATTCATACGAACCTATCCTAAAAATCTTGTCGGAATTAAATAACCCGTTGATATTGAAGTCAATCTCAATGGCTGTAAGACAAAATAAACCAAACCAAACCAGTCTGTTAATCTCAGACTATCTCTATTTAAGCTAACATTGAAAAAATTCCTCTTATGCTTGTTCCATTTCATTCTGCTTTAATCTGCTTAACGGTAACAAAGATAATACGGCTTTGTTTCAGCTGAAATTTAACATTGTTTGATTAAAAGCTGTCAATTTCCAGATTCTAACAATTGGCGACACTCTAGACACCCTTAATTGAATAATTTGTGTCTCGTATACCGAGGGGGTCAGAACATGTACTTTCTGGCTATGAGGGCCGGTTTCGATTTGTCAAGGAGGTGACTTTTGGGGAGGCGATTACAATGTGTGGCACCTTTGAAAACTACGAATCGACCCAAATGACTTCCACGTTTGGTTCGGGTCATCCCGAACCAAACGTGGAAGTAGTAGCATGAACTCCCATGTCATGGTCAAGGGCAGTATGCATGGATTCTCATGTCATGATCACGGCCAGTATGCATGTACTACCATGTCATGATCAAGGCCATTATGCATGTACTCCCATGTCATGATCAAGGCCAGTATGCATGTACTCCCATGTCAGGATCAAGGCCAATATGCATGGACTCCCATGTCCTGATCAAGGCCAGTATGCATGTACTCCCATGTCATGATCAAGGCCAGTATGCTTGAATTCCCATGTCATGATCAAGGTCAGTATGCATGAATTCTCATGTCATGATCAAGGCCAGTATGCATGGACTCCCATGTCATGATCACGGCCAGTATGGATGTACTCCCATATCATGATCAAGGCCAGTACGCATGGACTCCCATGTCATGATCACGGCCAGTATGCATGGACTCACATGTCATGATCAAGGCCAGTATGCATGGACTCTCATGTCATGATCAAGGCCAGTATGCATGAATTCTCGATGTCATGATCAAGGCCAATATGCATGAACTCCCATGTCTGAATGATCAAAGACCAGTATCCATGGACTACCATGTCATGGTCAAGGCCAGTATTCATGGACTCCCATGTCATGATCAAGGCCAGTATGCATGGATTCTCATGTCATGATCACGGCCAGTATGCATGGACTCCCATGTCATGATCACGGGCCATTATGGATGTACTCCCATGTCATGATCAAGGCCAGTATGCATGAATTCCCATGTCATGATCACGGCCAGTATGCATGGACTCCCATGTCATGATCACGGCCAGTATGGATGTACTCCCATGGCATGATCAAGGCCAGTATGCATGGATACTCATGTCATGATCACGGCCAGTATGCATGGACTCCCATGTCATGATCAAGGCCAGTATGTCATGTAGGCCTCTATTGTCATGATCAAGGTCAGTATGCATGAATTCTCATGTCATGATCAAGGCCATTATGCATGAACTCCCATGTCATGATCTAGACCAGTATCCATGGACTACCATGTCATGGTCAAGGCCAGTATGCATGGACTCCCATGTCATGATCAAGGCCAGTATGCATGGATTCTCATGTCATGATCACGGCCAGTATGCATGTACTCCCATGTCATGATCAAGGCCATTATGCATGTACTCCCATGTCATGATCAAGGTTAGTATGCATGAATTCTCGAGTCATGATCAAGGCCAGTATGCATGGACTCCCATGTCATGATCACGGCCAGTATGGATGTACTCCCATGTCATGATCAAGGCCAGTATGCATGGATACTCATGTCATGATCACGGCCAGTATGCATGGACTCCCATGTCATGATCAAGGCCAGTATGCATGTACTCCTATGTCATGATCAAGGTCAGTATGCATGAATTCTCGAGTCATGATCAAGGCCAGTATGCATGAACTCCCATGTCATGATCTAGACATGTCATGATCTAGACACAGTATCCATGGACTACCATGTCATGGTCAAGGCCAGTATGCATGGACTCCCATGTCATGATCAAGTGATGCCAGTCAATGCATGGATTCTCATGTCATGATCAAGGCCAGTATGCATGGACTCCCATGTCATGATCAAGGCCATTATGCATGTACTCCCATGTCATGATCAAGGCCAGTATGCATGAATTCCCATGTCATGATCACGGCCAGTATGCATGGACTCCCATGTCATGATCACGGCCAGTATGGATGTACTCCCATGTCATGATCAAGGCCAGTATGCATGGATACTCATGTCATGGTCACGGCCAGTATGCATGGACTCCCATGTCATGATCAAGGCCAGTATGCATGTACTCCCATGTCATGATCAAGGTCAGTATGCATGTACTCCCATGTCATGGCCAAGGCCAGTATGCATGGTCTCCCATGTCATGATCAAGGCCAGTATGCATGGATTCTCATGTCATGATCACGGCCAGTATGCATGTACTCCCATGTCATGATCAAGGCCATTATGCATGTACTCCCATGTCATGATCAAGGCCAGTATGCATGAATTCCCATGTCATGATCACGGCCAGTATGCATGGACTACCATGTCATCATCAAGGCCATGGGTGATCAAGGCATGGACTCCCATGTCAGGATCAAGGCCAGTATGCATGGACTCCCATGTCATGATCAAGGCCAGTATGCATGGGCTCCCATGTCATGATCACGGCCAGTATGCATGTACTCCCATGACATGATCAAGGCCAGTATGCATGGACTCCCATGTCAGGATCAAGTCCAGTATGCATGGACTTCCATGTTATGATCAAGGCCAGTATGCATGGACTGCCCCATGTCATGATCACGGCCAGTATGCATGTACTCCCATGTCATGATCAAGGCCAGTATGCATGGACTCCCATGTCATGATCAAGGCCAGTATGCATGTACTCCCATGTCATGATCAAGGCCAGTATGCATGGACTCCCATGTCATGATCAAGGCCAGTATGCATGGATTCTCATGTCATGATCACGGCCATGGTACCATGCATGTAAGGCCCATGTCATGGATCAATGGCCGTATGCATGGACTCCCATGTCATGATCAAGGCCAGTATGCATGAATTCCCATGTCATGATCACGGCCAGTATGCATGGACTACCATGTCATCATCAAGGCCAGTATGCATGGACTCCCATGTCAGGATCAAGGCCAGTATGCATAGACCCCATGTCATGATCAAGGCCAGTATGCATGGGCTCCCATGTCATGATCACGGCCAGTATGCATGTACTCCCATGACATGATCAAGGCCAGTATGCATGGACTCCCATGTCAGGATCAAGTCCAGTATGCATGGACTTCCATGTTATGAGCAAGGCCAGTATGCATGGACTCCCATGTCATGATCACGGCCAGTATGCATGTACTCCCATGTCATGATCAAGGCCAGTATGCATGGACTACCATGTCCTGATCAAGGCCAGTATGCATGTACTCCCATGTCATGATCAAGGCCAGTATGCATGGACTCCCATGTCATGATCAAGGCCAGTATGCATGAACTCCCATGTCATGGTCAAGGCCAGTATGCATGGACTCTAATGTCATGATCAAGGACAGTATGCATGTACCCCCATGTCATGATCAAGGCCAGTATGCATGTACTCCCATGTCACGATCAAGGCCAATATGCATGGACTCCCATGTGCTGATCAAGGCCAGTATGCATGGACTCCCATGTCATGATCAAGGCCAGTATGCATGAATTCCCATGTCATGATCAAGGTCAGTATGCATGAATTCTCATGTCATGATCAAGGCCAGTATACATGGACTCCCATATCATGATCAAGGCCAGTATGCATGGACTCCCATGTCATGATCTAGACCAGTATGCATGGACTGCCATATCATTATCAAGGCAGTATGCATGAACTCCCATGTCATGATCAAGGCCAGTATGCATGGACTCCCATGTCAGGATCAAGGCCAGTATGCATGAACTCCCATGTCATGATCAAGGCCAGTATGCATGGACTCCCATGTCATGATCAAGGTCAGTATGCATGAATTCTCGAGTCATGATCAAGGCCAGTATGCATAGACTCCCATATCATGATCAAGGCCAGTATGCATGAACTCCCATGTCATGATCTAGACCAGTATCCATGGACTACCATGTCATGATCAAGGCCATTATGCATGTACTCCCATGTCATGATCAAGGCCATTATGCATGTACTCCCATGTCATGATCAAGGCCAGTATGCATGAATTCCCATGACATGATCAAGACCAGCATGCATGTACTCCCATGTCATGATCAAGGCCAGTATGCATGTACTCCCATGTCAT